TTCTTGACATGTTACACACATAGATAAATATAGGTTAATCATCTGTTTTGTGATATTAGCATATTTTAAAGATGTCTCAGCCAATAATCTGTTACGTCCGCCGTGTCCAATAGCTCTGTGAGCTGCATCAATAACATCATACAATTCCTCAGCGGGAATAAAGTATTTTATGTTCTCTACACTACGGGTGACAAGTTTTTTAACAAAACCAATGTTTAAAATTGCAAATCTGTTTAATCGCCTTTGATGAAGTGGTGTCTTAATTTGAGCTTTTTCAGCCTCTTCCACTTGTAGAAATCTCCTGTGTAGATCTAAATATTTATCTTTTGTTAAAAAATTAAAATGAGATGATTTTATATTTTCATTGTGCAAAATTTCTTTTAAAAACCGCTCTATCCATTTTAACTGATCAACTTTAACACTAGACGATGGCTCATCCATAACAACAATATGAAAAACAGCACAAAACTTTAAACTAGTACGTTCAAAAAATCAAATTAATATAGCTTCGCAAATTGCACTTAGGTACACAAGTCACAACACGATTGTGCGTGAGTTCGCATTTTTCACCAAATGCTCGCCCTCTGGTGTTTAAAAATAAAACTATTTTATCTGGGTCATTTGAATCATTTTTGTGTATTAGCAGTAAAGATGAATAGCAATAGAGAAGCCTTCTGTTGAGTTCCAAATTGAAATTTCGAAGTCATACGGGAGCCCAATATAAGTTTTCGTCTATTCCCACATGAAAAACATGATTATTCGAAAATCGGTCAGTTATATTTATTAGCTTCTCCGAATTCTGAAAGAGTGGATTAGACTTAAGAATTGGCAAAAGTTTCCCCATTGTCCAACTTTACATGAAGAAGTTATACTATCAATTTAAAGAATTTTTCCTTAAAGTTTAAAATGCCAGTAATTTTGTGGGGGATGTCAGAGCTGATGTTTTATAACATAATGGTCAGAAATATGTATAGAACGATCTCGCTCATTTGTTTCGATACCACATAATGACGTGTCCCGCAGGCAATAATTGTTCCCCTTCTATAAAATTTCTCGATTATCAGCTATTAGCAGCATATATCACATAGTTCATATTTAAATTTTTTTTTAAATTCTCGTTTATACGTTTTTCAAATAATCTTAAGAATGTTTCATTACCGCATTCCATTTGAGAACGCTGTAACCTGAGGAAAATCTCCTGTGTAGATCGAAAACGTTTGTGTTTGCATTAAAATCTTCTGGAATTGTACTTTTAAGGTTCAGAGATGTGCTGTTTTTATGATATATATCATTATATCGGACAGAAATATATGATTAATTTTACATTACTAGTTACCAACGACCCAGATAAAGTAGCCATTTTGTAAAAATGCAGCGTAGACAACGAAAGCTCGATAGAAAGGGGCGCGAGAGGGGAATCCCCGCGTTAAGTGTTTATTTTATCACTTGCAACGAATAAATCAGTTCGGCCTAGGACAAACTAGTTTAGCCTAAAGTATTTAGGCCAAACTAGATTGTCCTAGGCTAAACTAGTTTATCCTGACACGCGTAGGACAAACTAGTTTGGCCTAGGATAAACTAGTTTGGCCTAAAATCGGGTTTGGCCGGTAACATATATATATTTGTTCATTATATTAATCATTAACATGTATATTTCTTCACTATTGTTTTCTGTAACTTTTGGGATGTTGTTGAATTGATTCCCAATTTCGTTAGCATATTTATTTATTTTGTAATGTATTCTTTGTTTTTTGTTTGATAAGTTATCAGAGTTTTTTCCAAAAATAGTAAAAATTTGGTTTTGTGGGAAAATGATCGAAAATATCAAAGTTGATAATGAAAAAGTCCAAGCAGCCATCCAATAATAATTCTGAACATATCGTATAGTCAATAGTTTTTCCAGTATGAGTTAAGCTAGTATATTCTGCGGGTATATCAGTTTTAATTCTATCATTGATTATACATACTTTAAGGTTTATTATTGCATCGATTAATTTTTGTCCGAGTCCGTTTAGATGATTATCTTTCGAGAGACGGGTGTTTTGTATTAGGAAATTATTACCATTATATTTGGAGTCCATTTTATCAGCACTTCTTGCATTGAAGTCGCTCAATATTATGGAGTCATATATTGCCAGATCTCTATTTGTTTGAATGTTTCATTTAAAGTTATTGTGTCATCTGGTAGAATATAAATAAGCATTAAAATTATTAGGTCGTTCATAATATTTACAAGAGTAGGTTTGTTGATTTGAATGAGGAACATGATGAAATTGTAAGATTTTATTTGTAGAATTTTACAAAGACCTTTTTTCATTAGTATGCAAAGACTTCCTTTGCACGGCACAGCTTGGCCTTTGTGGCCCTTGTGCCATAAAACACTAACCAACCAGCAAAGACTTCCACTAGGACGGCCTGGGCCTAATAGCTTTTTTGCCAAAGCTGACTCTGTTGTAAATTTTTCAAAGAAGCTTGATTTGTAGACTAATTCAGAAGTTATCCAGGTTTCAGTGATGGCAAAATGATATCTGGTTCATGTTTAGAGTTAAAGGCATCTATTTGAGGTATTTTGTATTTGAGTCCTTGACTATTCCAGTTAATAATTGTGAGGCATTGGTTGTTAGAGTAGGATTTGCATGATTGAGTTTTGTCATGCTTGTTAATTTGTCATTTAGTTATACTTGTTATTCTTGATGATGGAAGAAAAGTATCTATTTGTACCAGTTTTCCAGTGCTTAAGCTATAGGTTAACTTTTCATGATTGATTATTAAGATATCATTTCACAGTTTAATCTGAGGATTTTGTTTATATAGTTCATAAAAATTTGGTAACAGATGTTTCCTTTTAATTCTTGAGTTATTAGTTAAGTCCAGAGAAATTTGTATGTTATGCTATTCTTCTAGTAGTTTTGTTGTTTTTTTCGTATGAAAGCAAAGAAGATAAGATCTCTAATTTGATTATTGCTAAACGTACTTCTTATTGTTAGCTTTGGCGTTTTAGACAATTGAACCGTCTCTAGTATATCTTCTTGAGTTATATTTTGTATATTTAATATATTAGTAATAAATCTAAGTATTTCTGCTCTTGAAGTGATTTTATGATTTGGATAATTATATGTAATTATGTTATTATAGCAATGTTCGTTTATTAGCAAGTCCATTTTAAATTGAATACAATCTTTGTCAGTTCGTAATTTCTCTACCTGTTGTTTCAAGCTCCTCCATTTTTTTCTGATTTTCCCTTGTTTCACGAATATTTTCGTGAATAATGTTAAGTTCTTGTTTAATAATAACCATTTGACTAAAGTGTATGTCATTAGTGGTGTTAATCAAATCCGATATTTTATTCCATAACACTGAAGTAAGTGTCTGGAGAGTTATCCAGTTTATTAATTGAGATTTGTTCAGAAATGGTTGACTCACCTGGAGTGTTGTTTGCATTTGTCTGTGATGAATTTAGGTTGTAATTCACTTCATTAATTGATTCTTCATAAAGGTTTTTTTTCTGAGCTGAAGTTAAAGTCCATTATTGTTCTAGAATTTGATGAAGAAAACTGGTTCTTACTTTCCGGTTTGGCACGATTTAATGGAGGTCTTCCCCGTTTGAGTGGAGAACGTTGCATAATTGTTATTATTGTTATTGCCAATATAAATTATATTAATTAATAATAACAAATTTAGGCTTTTAGTATTAGTAAGTAATAAAAAAAAAACAATTAATTTTTATTCTTAATACGGATGACCAGATGCACAAGAAAAGACACCAGCAGCCTTGACAGATGGATACGCCCTCTTTATTAATTATTATTATATATTTATATTACAATATAATTTCAGTTTATGATTACTCTATATACAATATGAGAATTTAATACAATGAATTGTTTGCTTTTATCACATTTTCCTATTTACAAGATGAAATTTAATACAAGAAGTGCTGATTGATATTTATAAGAACAAAGATGTTTTATTCTAAACACAAGTGCAACAAGACAACTGTAATGTCTAAAGGAGTATCGAGATTACTCCGGACAAAAGGTCGGGTAAAAATTGTTACTTGAGGACTTTACATAAGACAAACGATTTGGGTTGAAAGAAATAAAATTTTTAATAATTGGCAATATAACTACACTTTAGCTTATCACTACTAGGTACAAATAAAAAAACGTGATCGCGTCAATTAGTAATTATTCCTTTCGCAGATATGATTATAAAGAAGAAGAAAAGTACTTTTTTACAATCACTTCACAGAAGCAGCTCCCTCATTGAAACTACTGTACGCATCTGAACAAACACTTCACCTTAAATTCCAGGGTCCTCTCACAAATAGGTTCGGTCATGTGGTTTTGACGATGCAGATTGATTCCTTTCATGGCGTATTTCTGTCCCTTTGTCGCGACCGATTCGTACTCCTTCTTGCACACTCCAGCGTACCTCCGCCTGTCTAGCCCAAGTCTCAGTCAGCAAAAAGAGGGTCCTTCCACATGTGGTATGGCAATTTATAACTCTCGCCATCGTGCCACGTCACCACCACACGTGAACACCGCACAGCCAATTGAAACAAGGCGGCTGTGTCCCCCCAAAAAAAAGGTGGTTCAGAAGAGCAAAAAACAAAGATTACAAATACAATACCAGGTACGAAATAATGGACCTAATGCAAGAAGGGTATACATACACTCGCCGAACACAAGAAGTATAGTGGCGCAGCACTACACAACTTTCCACATACAGGTAACCCCCGTATAATATGGCACTTCTATAGCACCGATTCACTCTAACACAGTTTAAGAATTGGGAACATTCCCGTATAACACAGTGCTTTTATAGCATGGGTTCACTAACACGGTTCGGGAATTGGGTAAAACCCTCGTACAACATGAAATGTAATAAAGGGTGTGTTCTTTTATACCTCCGCGTAACTCCGTGCGAGCATTCTAATTGTTTTCGTGGCTACTTTGAATNGCCTTGGGCCGCATGCGGCCCGCGGGCCGCGGGTTGGACACCCCTGCTGTAGGCCATTAAAATTGCTACACCATGAAGGTAACATGTTACAAATATAAAATTTGCATGAAAGGTACAACATGCTGGGATATGCAAATGATTAGCATTTCAATGTATGCTCAGAAAACAGGTAGGAGTAAGGCCATCTATAATCTGTATAAACAGGAAGATTGTAAAGCCAGTTTCTCACATGGAAATCGCATTCACACGTCAGTGCATGTGTAAGGAGGAGGAATGCCTACCAGTATGTGTCAGAGTTTGATCATGCAGAAGCATAGTCTACAGGGACTGCAGTTTATTGTTCCACACTATTGCTGCTTGTGTTGATTGTGATCCCAGGACTGTCATGAGAATATGGAATCGATGGATTCATGAGGGCCAGAACACTGTGCAGGATCTCAGCGGCTATTGATCAGTAAGGCCCAAGAAAACAGACATTTTTTCCACATGGCCTTGCAGGATTTTACAGCCACGTCATGTATCCTGAGTCAGGAACTTTGGTCATTTTCAGAACAACAAGTGTCTGCACAGACAGTGCAATGATGTCTGCAGCACCACAGATTATCAGTATGGTGACCATTACTGTGGTTTCCCTTGGCACTGTATCAGAGACAGGCACACATAAAATGATGTGTTCAATGATGAACATGGACAGAGGAGTGGCATCATGTCTTTTCAGACAAAGCCCGGTTCTACTTACAGCATCATGATAGCCATATCCTTGTATGGAGGCATCAAGGGAATGATCATTGCCAGTTTTCATTCATCATCATCTTGTAAGCCCAGCACCTGGAATGATGTTGTGGGGTGCTGTTGGATACACATCCTGGTTATCTCTTGTTTTCATAGCTAATAATTTGAACAGCTGCCATTATATTTCTAATGTGTTAAGGCCCATCACTATGTGCTATCTTCAAGGCCTTTGTTACGCTACCTTTCAATAGGACAATGCACAACTGCATATTGCTCATGCTCTCCTGACTTTTCTGAATACAGAAAGTGTTTGACTGTTGCCCTAGCCAGAACATTCTCCAGATCTGTCACTAATTGAGAATGTCAGGTCAGTGGTTGCCAAGAAACTGGCATATCACCACTCACCATCCAGTACAATAGACAAACTCTGGCATAAAGTTGTAACCACATGGATTACCTGTACCTGCCATCCAAATTCTGTTTGACTCAATGCCCAGCCAGATTACAGCTGTTATTGCTGCCAGAGGCCACTGCACTGGGTACTAATTTCTGCATGCTCTGTACCACAAAATTACGTATCAATTTAATCATGTCTTTCACATTATATTGTATATGTACAATAAATATAATTCTGCTATTTGCTTTCCTTCCTGGTGTAGTATTTTTAATGGCCAACAGTTTATATATATATGTTACAAAATAATTTATTTTTATTATTTTTTTGTCATTTAACTTTAATGTGAGACAAATTCTTCATATTAAAATGTAACTACAATGGGCAATTACTTATTATGACATCATCACAATGCCAGGTTGCAATTTTTAATCATATTTTTAATATGAAAAAATCACATGACTTTTGGTCCAGACTAAGTTTGACTCCCATATAGTTAACCAGAGCCTCTGATCCCTAACCTTTCCATATCTGGTCTTGATTTTCCTCTAACTCCATTTCTGAGATTAAGGAAGCACAGATGGCGAATAGTGGAAAACTAAAAGATCTAGTTTGAAAATTGCAGCCCAATAATATACATTTATTCTTAAAACTATTGTAACTTATGTATTAGCTGTTTAATGAATAATGTAAAAAATAAAAAGAACCATCGGACGAAAAATTACGAATAATATAAAAATGTTCTTATATATGATTACATTCTCTAAAGCATAAAAGGAGACTTAAAAATGATACCATTAAATATTTTATATTTGTAATTTTTAATTTGAAATGGTCAAGGCTGTTCACTTTATCCAAGTTTTCACTTATTCAGGTCCATATTACCACAGATAATCAGCATTCTACTATATTTGGAAATAATATTTATGTTGTTTACAAATATTATACAGAAGTTTTTCTTGTTCGTTAACAGTTCTAATAAATGATAAGCCTATTCACAAAAACAGGATCTGTCACTTGAAGATGAGAGAGAATGACCAGAATTCAGCTCATGACAATACCCCAACAAATCTCTCTCTTATTGAATATCTGGAAAAAATACCAGATATCAGTACTTCAATAGCTTTCTTACCAGAGGTTTTACATATTTTTTATATATAAAAAGTAATTATGAATTCAGAAGAACAAAACAAAAATTTGAAGAAAATATATAAATATGTTCCCGCTCAAACAATGTAATTGTGAATATATTCAATAATTCAATATACGTCAAGTTTACTATTCCCAATTAATCAATGATAAATATATGTCATTGATTAATTGGGAATAGTAAACTTGATGATTGCATATGTACACACATAAAATATTTAAAATAGTTTTGACATCTGACATTCTTTCATGCCAACATGACATCACATTTGCAGCCATGGGATTAAGATGTCATTTGCACATTTAATATCCTTTATTAGAAGAAACTGATAAATTCTCTGGTTGCAAAAATGGATGAAACCACATCAATCCATGAATTAACTACTATTAAGGTGCATTTAAAATTTATATGGACACGAAAAAATTAAAGTGAAACCCAAATTTGCTGCATTAAGTGACAAATGTTTTATTAAAAATAACATGGATTTACATGTTTCCACACTGCAAAATAAGAATTTTAATCAAACATTAACATTTCGTTACTGAAAATAATATTTTTGAAAATTTTGTACAAAAAACTGTTACATATTTAGCTGGACAGCCACTCATTTCATGACTTAAATAGAATATTGTTTAGTTTCAAGCATTAAAATATGCAAATTAGATATCTAATTGCAATACAAATTCTTTATGTTGTTCAAAGTTCTAAAATGGTTAGAACAAAGAATTTATCTGATTATGAAAAAGGGCAGATTGATGCCTATAAATCACAAGGCAAGTCAATAAGAGAAATTGCAGCATATATAAATCGTCCAAAATTAACTGTTGGTGATTATTTATCAAAAAGAAGTGGCAAGGATGTACTAAAATTCAAGACAGGTCCAAAACCAATGCTTACACCTCGAGATTGTAGACAAATCATCAAGGTTTGCTCCACAAAACAAACATCAGTAAGAAAAATAAAACAAGAATTAGACTTGCCTTGTAGCAGCACAACAGTGTGGAGAGTTTTAAATAAATCTCTAATGTTAAAATTCAGAAAAAAAGCTGTAATGCCATTACTTTCAGCAAAGCACAAAAGTAACAGACTTGATTGGGCACAAAAACACATGACATGGTCCAAAGAATGATTCAAGTTTTGTTCAGTTATAAAAAAAATTCAACTTAGATGGTCCAGATGGTTGGAAGTATTATTGGCACGATTTAAGAACCAAAAAACAAATATTTTCAAAACACCAAATGGGTGGGGGATCAATAATGGTGTGGGGTGCATTTGGATTCAATGGAACCACAGATTTAGCATTTATAACTCAAAGAATGAATTCAGAGAAGTATCAAGGCATGCTTGAAGATCATTTATTGGAAGCTGGACCAAATATTTGTGAACCAAATTGGATCTTTCAACAAGACAATGTCCCTGTGCATGCCTCTAAATCAACAAAAATGTGGTTTAAACGTAAAAATATTAATCTGATGACATGGCCTGCTAGAAGCCCTGACCTGAATCCGATGAAAAATCTTTGGGCAATGATGGTTCGTACAGTTTATGCCAATGGAAAGCAGTTTTTCACAATTCATGATTTGAAGGCAGCAATTTCAGATGCTTGGGATAAACTTAAGATTGAATCCCTTCAGAATCTAATTGAAACAATACCTAATCGAGTATTTAATGTAATTAATTTAAATGATGGTTACATTGGCCATTAAATTGTAAGAAAACTTTGCAATTTGAAACCTGTCCGGACAAATATGTAACAGTTTTTTTGTACAAAATTTTCAAAATTATTATTTTCAATGACAAAATGTTAATGTTTAATTAAAATTCTTATTTTGCAGTGTAGAAACATGTAAATCCATGTTATTTTTAATACAACATTTGTCACTTAATGCAGCAAATTTGGGTTTCACTTTAATTTTTTCGTGTCCGTATAAATTTGAAATGCATCTTATTAATGTGGCCTATGTCCTAAACTAGATGAAAAAGTAAAACTGGAAACTATCAAAAAGTACTTTGTGAAATGTGGATTTGTGTCATCAAATACTGTGGATGGTGATGATCACATAATGGATGGCAAACCTATGGCACACATGCCCAAAGTGGAACATAAGGAGAAATACAATGATTGCATCATATAATATGCAATCATATAAATGTATCATAAGATTTCGATTTATCATCTGTTCTTTTTCAACCATTCTTTTGATTTATCACTCAATCATCCTTCTTTTCAATCAGCTTTTTTACATTTATTCTAATTAAAGCATAAACACCTTTAAAGCTAAGTGTACTTACTATATGGCACACAGGCTCAAAAAGGTTTACCATTCCTGATATAGATGAATGGATGATTACATTCCAGTTCTCAATGAACCAGTGAGACAACCACAATAAATGTTGATACAGATGGAATTGAAAAAACTCAAGTGCTTCACCAAGAATGACAAATTGGAATGCTATTGCAAGTGAAAGTGACAAAAACTGAGGATAATTGTCAAATGAATAATCAAGAATGTTCTGTTACTAGTGAATCAATTGTACAACAAGACATGCTTTCAAGCATTGCACAGCACAGTTCACTTTCTACAGAACTTGGCAATCATTCACTGATAGAATTATTAACTCAAGTAGAAAAATGTGGCTGTGGATAAAGTCCAAAAAACTTAAAACTATAGATAAAGTTATTTCAAGCTGGCATGATAAGCTGTACTGTACACTTGTACTTAACATAATAACAATCATATAATAAGCACAAATTTAAAAAACTTATCATAATTATAGTCCATGCAGCAAAAGACAACATGCATCATCCAAGCAGGAAGAGTCTATGTCAGGTGAAAGGAATCATGTGAGTAATTAGGAGCAAGTAATAAAATTTGTAAAATAATATAAAACAATAAAATTATGACAAAGATAATATAAAAAACGTTTCAGAAATGTAAAAAACAAAACAGCTGAAAAAGATCAGATCTATGTGTCAACTCCCAAGGAAGTAACCATGTCTCCTTCCATCTCTTTCATCTGATATTTCCCCATCCAGCTCAGGCTGACTCATGTCTACTGTTTTGCTGCATGACTATAATGTTTAATAATTATAGTACTATAAATATAAGGCCATATATCCATTACACCATGAATTTGGTATGCATATATCCATTACACCAAGAATATAACATACTGTATTTCTATATTCATGACAAAACAAATTTCTATAAGGTGACCACCCTACCAGGTAACTATTTTTTGTGGTCAGCTTAATAAGGATTCATTCCATACCACCATTTAACCCTTTCGAATATATTTAAAATTTTTTATACCTGTATTGTTGTTGCCTTTTACTAAACATATTGTATCAATATCATCAGTTGCTCAATGGTAGGTAGCTAAGGCAACAAAAATATCAGTCTCTGGGGAACCCAGGATACCTTAGATCTACTACTTCAGGAACAATCTGTTCTGGATATGTTGGATTCCATCTCCATCACCCAACTTTCATTATGAGTCTGACAAATCTCAGAATTGACATGGAAAAAGCACTCTTAGTATTTACACGGAAGATAACGTTAAAGAAATTTTGGATTGCATATAATATTATATTGCTTATATTTTACAAACAAATTAATAGATAATAATTAAATAATATACTTACTTTTTGGTATTACTTGATCTGTTTCACCCATTACATGTAAACTATTTATAGAAATTGATTCTTTGAAAAGAGATTTATGATAACTTGATCTACTTATGAAACCGGCAATTAAAATCACAAAGTTAAAAGAATACTCCAATTCTGCAAAAAAAAATATTCCAATTTTAAATTTTCATTACATAAATACAGTATTGTATGATACTGTAGAATATTATGCTACAATTAATATAACATTTTTATCATTAAATAATAATAAAACCATAAACTAAATTAAAATTTATAATTTTATAATTTATTAAATTTTTATGCAGTATTTAACATAGAGAAATTAAAATATTTCATAAAGTTCAACTAATGATTTTTTAACAATTAAAAATAAAAGATGTAATTAGTTGAATTAGTTAAAATTTTATTGTTATTGTTACGTGGATGGTTATTTTTCGAGGTAAAAATGCATAAACCTTCCTGGCTGCTAAGACAACTAGTCAATAAAAGATCCCATCCCACATACCATCTTGAGGCTGCGCTAGCAAAGCATATCACTTCTTTGATTCTGCCTTCTGAATTTGTAACACATGCCTCCATTGAAGATAAAGTTACCAAGCTAAAGCTACAAATTACAAAAATTAGGAAACCTCCCCTCTAATTCATACTGACTTTACAAAGTCGATGTCATTTCTTTATTTCCGTCTGTTCTGCATTTTGAGGCTGTCATGCTGGCAAATACTCTATTCCTCAATTCTAGTCACCCAATATCACATGTTCTACACTTGCGAGAAGCTCTTTTTCTTGTCACTCATAATAATTATTTCCAATTTAATGGAAAAATATATAAACAAACGCAAGGTGTACCAATGGGTTCCCCACTATCTACTGTTTTAGCTGAACTGATTATGAAGAATATAGAACATCGAGTTTTTAATGCCCCCTTAACTATCCAGTATCCTCTCATGTATATACATTACATCGATGATGTGTTAATTGCGTGGGATGGCTCCAATGAGGATTTACAACAATTCACGCAAATGTTAGCCTCCATTTATCCTTCAATTAATTTTACCGTTGAAGAGCAAAAAACAATAGAATCTCCTTCCTGGATCTAGACATATGTATGTCTCCGGAGCTTACATTCACTGTACATCATAGAAATAATAAAGCACCGCAAATCGTACCTGCTACTGCTTACCAGCCATCACACTACAAAAATTCTGCTATTTCTTCTCTAATACTGAGGGCATACCTTCTTCCTTCTACTCAGTCACTAGTGGAAGATGAGTTATCTATCATTTATAATGCCATGTTATAGGCTGGTTATTCACACTCTAAATTTACATTTCTTCAAAACCGTGTTAAGAATAAATTATTTCCGCAATCTTTTCTTTCTAATAAGGAAAACCTAAGAATAGCACATCCTCCCCAATACCCTATTTAGGCCCCATTTCTTTAAAAATTGCACATATGTTTAGAACTAATGGTTTCGTTCTCACAATAACACTGCCACCAAGTCTAAGAAGACTGCTATGTAATGATAGGGACAGATATCAGTGGAATGAAAAATCAGGAATCTACCAAGTCCTGCTAAAACATGTATTGTCAGGTGAAGAAATCAGTTATATAGGGGCCACAGCTATAAGGTTAGGTTCACATATTCTTGAACATCAAGAAGACATCAAAAACAGCAGGCCAGTTACAGAGTTAGCAAAGAAAGTGCTTGACCACAATTACCAGCTGCTCTGGAGCAAAACAAAATTACTGAAATGCCGCAACAAACATAAAGAGCTATTTGTTTGGGAGAGTCTCTATATTTCTGCCATTGAACCGTGCAACTCCCCAACTCTCGAATTACCAGAAATTTGAGTAACAGCTTTTAAACAACTCAATCCACGATGTTGAAGTCTTTGCTACTCAGATGTCTTTTTGACATATCTTATACTTTATGCATGTTCTGGGCACTTTTATGGCCATATACTTCCTAAAACATGCTTATTTAAAACTGTTTTCCTTCCACGCGCTATGATGCACAGAAGGATTTTTAAATAAGATTCGAAAATGAAAAATCAGTTAAAATGTCAGAAATATTGTTTGATAATTTCGAAAATCCGAAATTTGTGAAACTGTCGGATTAGAGTTTGAAAATCTTAATCTGTTGTATTCGATAGACCACCTGAAGACGGTAGTTATATACTATTGAAAGTACTAGCAGACGAGTTCACTTTCTAAAGTCAGACGAGTTCATTCTCCAAGACTCCACTCCTGTAATGCCACAACACGTAAGTGTTATAATCATATAATAAATGTTGGCATGAAGTGACATTGAATTATAACATATTTAAGTAGTAAGATTGACATATAGTGTTGATGTCTTAGATAGTAGTCTTCAATTATTGGCTACCACACTTGCTTAATTTTTACTTCTTGTTTTTATGAAAAAAATGTCTTTATTGACACTGATTTATTAAAGAAGCTTCTTAAAAACTTTTTAATGTTGTTTTATGTCCAATTTGGCAACTGTTTTATTAAATTAGTGTTTTCATAATGATGATGATTTTAGATGACAATAATATCATGTTTATCAGCAAAATTGTTCTTTATATGTATGTATGTATAAGTTTATAGGAAATAAATATAACATGTATAAAAGTACTCTATTGTTTGTGAAAATTGTAACACCATGAAGAAATTGTGATATTAGCTTGAAATTTACAGGATATGTAAATCAGGGTGTGGTATGCAAATGATCAAAATTGCAGTGATTGTACATATATGCTCAGTAGCACCCTCTTAGCTGTTCAGTAGGGGTATAAATACAGGGTTGTTTAGGTACCATATACATAGTACATTGTGGATATGAACTGTAAGGGTGCAACTATGCAGACGCGAGCGAGCGAATTTTCCGAGAAAGTAAGAATATGTGGCGAGAAGAGGCGAGACGCGATAAATATCAAACCTGTCAGATATGTGCGAGAACCAGAAATTCGCTCTCGCCAGCGTTATTTCTCGCTTCGCGTTTGTGCGTGGTTTTCCTTTGCGAAAACTAAATCGCTCGTAACCTCTCGCTCGCTCTAAATTCGCGTCTGCATAGTCGCACCCTAAAAGTGTTTCCAGCACTCACTATCCCTTGTCAACAATGAAGGACACAATACCAACAAATGACAGAGTTTGAATGTGAATGAATGATTGGCCTGCATGAAGGTAGATTTTCATACCACAATTTTGTTGCTCCTGCAGGACATAACCCCATGACAGTGATGCATATGGCGGCAGTGGACTGGAGAAACTGGGTGCATTGAAAATTCAGCAGTGGACTAGAAAATATGATGACATCTCTTTCATATGACAGTGATGAGCCATTCTGCATCATTCCAAGTGTTAACACAGCAGTGGAGTACTGCAACAGATGTAATATTGTCTGCCAGTACAGTCTGATGCTGCTTGCTTCAAAGGGAACTGATTGCACATGTGCCTTTGTACAGATTCCCTTGACCCTAAACCACTAAAACAGGCAACAGTAGCATGCTGATTAGCAGTAAGTCATGTTTTCAGACAAGTTCCGATTTGGACCACAATGATGGCCACATGAGCTTTAGAAGGTATGGTGAACACCATCTTTCAGCTTGCATTTTAGAGTGCCATATTGGCTGAATGCCAAATGAGATAATGTGAGGTGCCATTAGATACCATTCATAATCTCACCTGCTATGATTTGAGGGCAATCTTCAACAGTGACCACTACATCAAAAAAGTTGTAGAGACAGAAGTCATATCCTTCCTGTCATTATATTCCAGTAGAACAATGCCTGAACCCACGTTACCAGGAATGTTCAAATCCTCTTCAAGGCACAGCAACTACTACTTCTTCCCTGGCCTATCTGTTTGCCAGACATGTTGTCTATTGAACATATTTGGGATATGGTCACTTACAAACTGACCAATCAAAGTCCTCCAGCAGTCAATACCAATGAACTACGGAAACATCCAAACAAGCCATCTGGCAAGCAATTCCCCAGGACACCATCCAAAGCCTTTTCAATTCATTGCACTATGTACAACCACTCTTATTGTAGCTCACAGATGCTTTACAAGCTACTGATTTTATTAAGAATAATTGTGTAATTTTTATGAAAATTTATTCATTTATGTACAGTCATATCAGTAATGTGTGGTATAATTTTATTCTAATTGGATAATTCCTTTATGGTATTGCAATTTTAACAAACAGTATCATACTGTATACTAACATCAATTTGAATTATTCATTATCTTTATTAGTATATAATTGAGTTTTAAACTATTTCTTACCTTTATTTTGCTGAAGAGCACATAACAAAGCTGCCAATGCAGCACCTTGACTAAATCCAAGAATTCCATCAAAATGGCCCTATAGTATAAAATAAAATGCACCAAGTTAATTTTTCTTTTAATTTAAATATAAAAATTATCGATGCATTAGATTACATTAAAATTATTTTCACAATTCAGCTGATCACTGCATTCTATTGATAATAAACAAAATTTTGAGCACTCAAGGCAATGCAGAACCCTCACGCAGTTCCATCATTTTTTGCTATCGTCAAAAAATGCATACTGTGCATAATGATATCTACTGAGTAGATATCAGTACAAAATATTTTTGTCCTGTTAAAATGTTTATACTGATCCTGAGATGCTCTACAATTTTGTAAATTTAAACTATGCTGCTATTTAAAAAAAGGTATATTTATATATATAATTTTAAAAACTTTCAAAATGAAAAGTCACTTTAAAAATCATTATAATAAAAATCACTCTGATCTTTTCAACAGTCCTTTTTTTATTATTGAAGAGATGTACTCTCGTATACTAGAGTTCTTGTTATTATTATTTATTCCTACCACTGAAGAGGAACTGTTAATTGATGCAGTTCAAAATGCATATGGTGTAAGTACATCTCTTCGGTAATAAAACAAGCTTGGTCAAACCGATCTGATAGCACGCTCTACAAAAGTGAATCAAATATTAATTTTGTTTAAAATAAATTTTATAAATTCTTGGAATCATGTAGTTGTTGCATATGCACATGGTCATGCTCAATAAATGAATTGAACAGAACATAACACTTAGTTAACAAAAATGAAGTCATTGTGCATGCGTGTGGACATCTGACAGATGAACAAAAGTCCTAACATACGCACTTTACCACTATAGTGGAGCTTGCTAAAAAGGACTGTTGAAAAGATTAGAGTGATTTTTATTATATTCATTTTTAAAGAGACTTTTGTTTTTGAAAGTTTTTTAAAATTATATATATAAATATACATTTTTTAAATATATTTTAATTGATCTCCTGAATTCACATATGCTGCTATTTTTGCATGGGGGCAAATCCTATCTTAGTCCTTTAAAAGTGGGTGGGAGTTTATGACAATTAGAAATGTACCAATTAATAATTTTCTAATTGTTAATAATACTAATTAAATTGTCAACTGATAGTTAATTCTTCAATAATTGAAGTAATCTGTAAATAATCATTCTATTTGAAAAACATACTTTTTATAAGTTAATAATAAGTTAAAAATTATTAAATTAATAAACATTAAAAAATTTTGTTTAAAGAAATATTTTTATTAATAATGATAATTCAGGATAATCATGGTGACACATTCAGCTTTGTTAGAAACTGCTAGCTTTTTGCATCTGTTTTCAGTCTGAATTCTTATTAAAACTGAAAATGTTCTATAAATTTTTTCAAATATATATTTTTTATGGACTAAGCTTCAGTCTCATTTATAGCTAATTATTGCATTTGATTGATTAATTTTCAGTGCCATCTGCCTATTTTTGAAAGAAAGCTTTTGTTTTTAAACAAGTAAATTTATTACATTGCCAATTATTTCATATTGTTTTCTTAACTACATTGTATTTGAAAGAATGTCTGATGTGTGGAAATGTAACATAAGTCAATTAATTATAGAAAAAGTAACCACCAAAAATATTAAAGTCATTGCACATTGTTTCAGAATGGTATCAGCATAGAATTGCCAAGAAATTATATAATCCATGTTCTATATTAACAAAATATTATGTAACATAGCACATTTTTTGGATGAAACTGTCCAGTGTTTGGTTTGACCTCTATTGAATCTATATGTTATTTTATTTAATAAATGCAAATTTATCAAATTTACATTATAAACCATCAGTGTTATATTCAGAATATAAAGAAATGCATTATTAAATGACATTTATACGTACATGTGCTTCAAAAGTTTCTTTAATAAGCTGTAAAGATTCATCAAATCCTACACAAACATTAGAATCTAATCGTGGATCAAAAGTTTTCTCTTTTTGCGTAAACCACCAACCACGGCCTAAAAATTAAAATATTATTTAGAGAATACATTATTTTATGAAAAATACAGTATACTACAAATTAAAAAAATATTGTTTCAAACATCTTACCTGGTCGTAAGCAAGAACCTTCTGCAGGATTATCATTGGGTATAATATGTGGTGCATCTATAAATACTGCAAAAAATAAATAATTTAAAAATAACTTTCAATATTAAATTAACTAATTACAAAATACAGTAGAACCATAATTATTTGAGTCCTAATTAACTGAGGTTCTGCATTATCTGAGGAGAGTTTTGTTTTGAACCTGTAACTAGATACATTATTTTTCTTATATTGTAATTCATAAAAGAAAGTTTAAAATGATAATATGTATTCCAAAATGATTTGATTCTGTTATGTTTTATCATTTAACTTCAATCTGAGACAAATCATTCATATTAAAATGTAACTACAATAATAAAGATTTTTATTCTTAGAACTATTGCAGTTATATTTTCAAGGGCATATGCTGGTAGGGAGCAAACAAGTCATTTGCCCTACCTGGATCAGGTCTTCTAATTGAGAGAGAGGCTTTGGATAGGGCTGTCTTAACAGCATTATAGGGCCCTAGGCCCTGCCTATACAACTGGCATGCGAGTGGAAAATTAAATTTACATTCTAGTCTTTGCATAATTTAGTGTGGGCCCCAGGCAACTGCCCAATATGCCAATATGTTAAGATGGTACTGGATTTGTAAGTTGAAACCTTATAATTTATTCCCTAAGAAGTATTGGAAATTTCTCCTCACTCAGTAGTATGATCAATTACTTGATATAAAGCTATACACCAACCAAAGCCGAATATTATAGCATCTCTCGATAAATTTAATTTATCAAGAGATGGTGCCTAATGCCTAACTCTAATGACAAATTGTCTTATAAATCATTAATATTATGACCATTTCTAGCCTGATAATATTCAGCTTTGGTTAGTGCATAGCTTTAAATGTATTAGGTTTAGTAATGATGTTTGTTTACTTGATATAATCTATTGTCACTCTTGCTTACACAATAATTATGACAGTGGGAGTACTGTACATCTCTTTTGACCTCCTTGGAAAAGTTGTAGTAAACACCCTTGCTTATATTAGCTGTACAATAAATGATGTAAAAATTGTTCTTATATATGATTAAATAACACTAAGATATAAAAAGAGACGTAAAAGTGTATATATCATACAAATCTGTTATATTCATAATTTCTAATCCAAAATGTCTGTGGCTATCTGTTTTATCCGTGTTTTTAGTTATCCAAGATAGTATCAGTCTACATTATCTCAGATAATTGATGTTCCACTGTACAGTTTTATAAATTCTAAAATACATTATTGTTATTTATTTACATAAAAGATAAAACTAAATTCTGAACCCTAGATGCAAAAGGTCAGATGCCCATTTTAATGCTAAAATGAAATATTTGAAGATCAGACTTGATTGCACTATTATTTCTATTCCATTCTATTCTTAAGACATGTAGAACTATTCTTTAGAAATGAAATATCCAGTTGTAATAAGGTTTGTTGTCACTTGGTACTTTTGGATCAGGATGCCAGTTGTGTAACACATGCCCTATTGCCTCCAAATGCCAAATTAGGCAAATGGACAACCAATCATGGTTGCTTATTTGCTTATTTAGGAGTAAGACTTTTTTATTTTAGGGTTAGGATTATTTAATTAAACAACATGAAAAGAAATATGAACAATGGAAGAGGAATTTTGAAAAATCAGGTCAATTAGGAAAAAGTGGCAACATTTGCTGCTCCAAGTGAGTCTTTCACCTGGCAATACTACTTGTCTTTTTATTGATAAAGTTAAGTGTGATGACTTACAGAAACTGGTCCAATAAACAATGAAAGCATTCTACAGGAGCACTTCATGTAAGGATGATGCCAATCAGTTATAGAGTGATGAGGACTAGACATGTCTCATGTCCTATCAAAAAAAATAATAAATTTCACAAGTCACATAACTTTCCTGGCAAAAACATTTAAAATTGCATGTAACACTATTTCTTATGATATTTTGTTTAAAAAACTTTTAATATTATTAATTATTATAAAATAGCAAAAAGCTTCATTTTGAGGATACAGATGAGTTTTATAAAAAAAACTGTAAATGCTAATAACAAGAAAAGTCTTCATCAAATCCAAAATAAAGATATGACACATGACCCCTCTATATCTCCATCTCCTCAAGCTTTAACCACCAACATTTAAATGCATCAATGCCACTAATACACAAATCTCCCTGCAAAATTTCAAAAACTTTCAACAAAAGGCTCAGGAGTTATTAAGCTTCAAAGTGAGTGAACAAAATTATAACACCTGGTCCCCAGGAAAACCCCCCAAAATTGTTTTGCATTTTTCATCATTTCAAGGTCCTGAGTCCAGAAATGTAAAAGTCTTCAGAGAGATCATTTTTTGACCAATTGTCATAATTTCCATGTGTTATACATAACAGCCAGGAAAGTAATACATAGCCACAACTTTTGTATTACATATCATGTAAAGAATGTTCCAATAGTTAAAAACTTCAGCAAATAAAAGGATTCAGACAAACATTAATTTGGTATCTTACTAGTTATAATGCAGAACATTTATAACTAATTACATGCGTCAAAACAATAATTTAATGAAGAAAATACATCATAATAAAGTCACCAATGAGAGAATGTGAGGACATATGACCCAACAAATGATAACCATTGAAGGTAAAAGAACAGTTGTAACTCTTCTAGCAACTGGAGGAACTATCAGAAATAAATTTCACCTTAAAATATACTCCAACACAATTTAATGAACAAAAACGTTATTGACCTAAGCTTATAGGTCTTCATAAGTTGAACATTTGAACATAGAATATATCAGGTCAGTTGTTCAACATTTTTGGAGAAAGGTCCTACAAATCTCTCTGGAACTTCTGAAATAAAAACCTGATGCTCCAATGCATACTTTCATACACAATCTGTATGTTTCTATATACAATGGTTGACTCAACAGTGAATTTTCCAGTGAGTCCCTCCATTGAACGATTTGATGTTACGTTTTGTAGAAAAAAGAAACATTTCCATTGAAAGCCACTTTTCATGATGGCCGACTTAATTAAGGAGAAGATAACAATTATAATTGTTTTGCTAAATAATTAAAGTAACTCACTTAACCATTATTTGAATAAATCCTTTTATTCAAATGAACCCTTATATGTATCATTTTCTTGTATACTAGGTCTTTTTTTAATAATTCAAATTTCTTGAATATTATATCATTAGGTAGACTTAAAAAGGGCAAATATAGGTTGTAATCAATTTTGGACAAATTCATGGAGGTAACACTTTGTTTTACAGAGAAGCACACCGGAAACAGGTTCTTGGTACATTGATTTTGTATTCATGGAGGTAGTTTGTTTATGAAAAAAAGCTTAATATTTCAATATTGACGAAATTATCAACATAATTGTGCAATCACATGTTTTATCATATACAGATCATTCATAAATCTGTACACTATTACAGTATCCACAGCAAGAATGAATGGATAGTTTCTATATGCAAAATTTACTTTCTCGTGGAAGCTGTCATGTTAGTTTGTTGAATACTCAATGGTCTTTCAGATCGTTGAGACCATTGAGCTCAACAGTGAAACAGCGCTGATGTCACTAGTCTCAATGAAGAACTCAATGGTCCATTTAGAAACATCATTTTCTCACCGTTGAGTCAAATATTGAATATAGAAATGTACAGTATGAATGGAAGATAATGCTTAATTGAAGATAAAGATGAGGAATGGAGAACACTCTAGGATAGTAATGCTCAAGCTTTACTGTAAAATTTCAATTCTGTGACATCTGACCTTTTGTTTCTGGGGTACAGATTTGTAAATCTAGTTAATATTTAAGCATAAAGATTATATTATTATATAAGCAAACATTATACTATACATATATTTATTATAATTTATCACATATAATAATAACATAATCTTTGTGATGTTCTTTAATCTTTTAAAGACAAGATTTATAGTTTTCTCCCAATAGCAACTTATGAATGCAGAATTATTTGTAAATATTACATGATAAGATGCTAAACTTCTTTTATTTTATGTAATTATAATAATGTATATATAATAATGTATATATGCTTTGAATTCAAATTTAAAATACATAACACTTTTAAAACGGATTCAGAAAAAAGCTGGATGATGATTAGAAGTATTACACAATAAAAAAGATTAATGATGTATTCAAAATAAAGTAAACTTAACAGAATAAAAACAATTTTTCTTTCAGTGTCATTATATGTTGAATATTTTCCCTACAATTAATATATAAACATTAATTGTACATTAAATTTCATAAACAGATTGTTAAATCAAGTTTATGTTTTAATAAAAACAAGTTTTAATAAAACAAGTTTTGATGAAATTATACTCTGACATGCAAGAAATATGCTAGTTCTCTATATACAAGTAATATATGAGCAGTTTTTAATACTAATTAAAAATAAACTGATATTTTGCTAAGTTATTAATATAAACACAATTCATTCAAAATATATTACACATAAATAGAATCTGTTTAAAGATTTAGTCAATTTATGTGATCTACCATAGTGTTCTTTGACCTCGGACAGGAAATTTTGTAACAACAAAATAATGTTTTAAACTTGTAATTAATATAAACAATTTTTATTTATTTTTTATTATTGCAATTGTTTAAATAAAGTTCTTATAACTCAAATTTTATTAAAATTATTAGATACCACTATAATTACTGTATAATAATAATAATTAAAAGAATATATAAAATAATTACATTTATGCATAACAGTTATCAAACAAGTGTCAGTCTCATGACCTACCCCTACCCCTTACACCCTGTTGTTACACTTAACTTAGTATGTATTGCAGTATTGCATCAGCTTGCTTATTGGGGACATATAGCAAAAACTCATATTATATTGTGACTGTGCATGACTCGAGAGTGAGTGATCAACATGCAAAGGAAAGCAACACCATTGCAATACACAGTAATCAGTATCTTGTTACAGTCAGTTATGACAGTTGCACATGTCACCCACATCTAAACAGATTAAGTCTAAGAAAATTTATCTTTAGCCTTCTGCTGGTCTTCAAAATATTATTCCTATTTTTGCCAGTCCACAGGTATGACAAGGTTGAAGAATGTTGATTTACAGTATTAAATATTGCTTTGAATTTAAGGTAAAATTCAAATTTAAAATACATAACACTTTTAAAACGGATTCAGAAAAAAGCTGGATGATGATTAGAAGTATTACACAATAAAAAAGATTAATGATGTATTCAAAATAAAGTAAACTTAACAGAATAAAAACAATTTTTCTTTCAGTGTCATTATATGTTGAATATTTTCCTCAATTACAAAAATTGTATATAAATAACGTGTGAATAATAGAGAAAGCAGAGGAAGACTGAAATACTGTTTCCTCTCCTTACAAAAAAAACCTATTTAATAACAAAATATGCTGATTCTGAGGTGCATTCTTTCTGGGAATATCATAGTGAAACCACTTTTTCATGGAATGACCTTCAGTTGATGAGCCCACACATGACTCCTTGTCTCCATTTAGCCCACAGAAATTCAGATTCTAATTTATTTTGTTTCCTTACATCATTTACATTTGGTTTCATGCTTGCTTGTTCTTTCCTAAAAAATGATTTTAAGACTTTTGATGAATGACAAAGAAATATATCATATTTAGGCTGCTTTTCAATTTTAAATTTGAAAAAAGTGCATTTTAAATATGTAAAGCAATGTATTATTACTTTTATGAATGTTAAATCTTATTTTCAAACAAAATATGCACATAATTAACCAAGTAATTGTTTTAATTAATCATATTTTTTTATGTTTCAATTTAATAAACGTATTTATATGTTTGTTTATAAAAACAAAAAAAAAAACAAAAATAGAAGTAAATTATTTAAAAGCAAAATATCAAAGTATTTTAATTTTAAATATAAACACAATTTATAAAATAATTTATATATGTAATATTAAACTTGATAATGATCTTAGTATTAAAACAAATTTTATTAAATGATATTATATTTAGGATTCTTTATTGCTTTAATAAAGAGTAATAAAAATATTCTTGTATTATGTATATGTTTATATTTTTAGTACTTTCAATGTTGATGGATGAACTAAACTCCCAAAACTGGTTCTGAAAATAGTCTTGGTAGGATGAAGACATGTACAATGGATATTAAGAGCAAGGATAACTTGGCTGTAAACTAGAGAATTCATTCTTTATCACCTTGAGATGTTTTAAAAATTTTATAATTGAACTATTGTGAATTCTAAATAAAAAGATAATAAAGTTTTCTTGCTATAACCTTAGTATAAGTATTACTATAAAATATTTATATAAAGTACTAGAAAAATATGTAAAATAATAAAATAATGCAAAATGGAAAGCTGATTTTTTAAAAACAATATGCAGAAATCAAAACAATGTTCTTTTCATATTACTTGATCAATATGCAGCATAGCATTATATTAAAATACAGTAGCACATGAAAGATTCAGATTAATTTTTTGCCTTATAGTAATTCTTTTTTTGTTTTTTTCATAAGAACAAATTTTCTATAGAACAATAAAATGTAAATAAATACCAAATCTGAAACAATATTTGTAACAAATGTTCATCTTTATTAGTATTATAAATTTAAAAGAAAATGATTCTAAAGAATACCTAACCTATTTATATATTCATAACATAAAGGAAATAGAAAATGAAGAATAAATAAAGAACATATAGTTATAATGTTAATAGTTTTTATTTAACATCTCATAAACATTTTTATTAATTTAATTAATGTTTTCAATTTTTAATTCATTATTTTATTTTCATTTTTACACTGCTTAGATATCATGATATTATAAATAAACATACATAATATGAATAACTAATATGATTTTTATTCCTTTTACTCTTGTTAACATAACAGGAAATTGGCAAAACAATGAAAATCAAAAATCCTTGAAAACTCGTATCACACTATATATTTAATAATAGAGAAAGCGAAAAAGTAATAAAGATATAAACAGAACTACAAACAAAATATCAAAAAATAAAAAATAGCCACTGATGAATTAATCGTTCTTACAAATGGAATGGAAACATAATTCTGATATGTTATCAGTCTATATTTAAAAACTGATAACATAAAATTAAAAAAAATAACTTTTTTGAGGGTAAGATTTTAAATTTTAATAAAAGACACAAATATACAAAACAACAGGAATACCCACTTTACATTGTGAAAATGAAAGCAGTACTAAGCATGGAAAGAGCATTTCAAGAAACAACTGCCCATAGACTCAAAGTACAATTGTCAATTCTCCTCATTTGTTAGAAGACTCCTGAAAGTTGGCAATAGTTTTTACATTTTCTGACTCTTAAATTGAGGCCTATTCTTCTTATATTTACTTGATAAGATGATCAACTTTCGGGTTATTGTTGGATTGGAAAATGCCTGAAATTGTTCAGGACTTGGCGAGCTCAGTGGCAGATCTACAGAGCTTAAGACCAGGACCTCTAACTTTTAGGGGCCCAAGGCACAATGCACAATTGTTAAATATGGAATAGAAGATAAAAGTGTAAGCAATACCAATTTAGAAATTTCTTGTTAAAATTGAAAAATAATTGTAATGTGGACAATGGCCAGTACATAACATTTGAATATTTGAACAATATTTGAACATATATTGATAGAAAGGCCTAAGATTTGTCTAAAACAAATTTCACAAATTTAATTGCAATTTCATAATGGTTTTACTGGAAATTTTTAAAAAAAGGTCAAGAGAAAGTCAATCAAAATGACAATCTTTGGCTAAGACTGCTTATAGCATTTGGAGATGAACAACAAAGAATAAAATAATAATTTTATTTACGTTTAATATTTAAAAGTTAAAAAAAAAAAAAAAGGAACATGAAAAACATCTTGAGCCCAAGATCCCAAGAAACAGTAGAAGTTAACTTAGATCTAACCCTGGGAAAACTTAAAAATTAAAACAGTATCTTAAAAATTGCTAAGTGTTAAGATTCAAGCTCTGAATCTTACCATTTAGCAATAGTAATAGCAAATTTAGCAATAGGAGGGATTTACAATTCTCAGGGTTTTGCATACCCTGAGAATTGTAAACCCTTCCTATATGAGCAAAAAAGTCAAAGGAACCATATCTAGACATGCAACTCTTGGTGAAATATATTTGCCTCCAAAGGTCAATTTATAACATGTATCAGTATACTGCCTATTCTCAATGCTCCATGAAATCAAGGATCACCATTGTTCTCCTCGACTGACGCTCCACACGTAGTTGTGCGCTTCGATACTCACTATAGCTCACACCTCAGGGCCTGGGTAGGGGCGAACCCTCACACCCCCTAAAACTATATAATATGTCGAACAGTCGAGTGGGCTCCTCAAAGCTGGCATAGTCACATGGGCTAAATAGTTAAATGTAATAATCTTGGCAGAGTGACACAACTCGCAATCTTGCACAACCGATTTCAAGGAACCATATCTCACAAAGGGTCACTTGTAGAAGTACAATTCCTTTGATTTTTTTGCTCCTATGGGTATGTTCTACAGGTCTGATAAGGTGCCGTCTTATTCAGAGCTTGAATTGAGCCTTCTTGCTATTACGAGCCACCTGTCATTTGTATAATATTTAAGCTTATTTATATGTAGTTTGTTGACGAGTCAAAAAACTAAAATCACATTTATAATAAGTAAGTTTACCCAATTCGGCGACATTTTTTACTATTTTCCTGAATCCACCAAACTTCTCTTTAAAATATCCAGCATCTTGACTTTAAATAATGAAAATTTATAGTTATTTAATAAATATATTACAGAAATATGCATTAAACCATTTATTTACTTATTTTACTTACCGATATCCGTGTAAGCAAAGGATCTTTAAAAAAAAGTTACAGATTTAAATATAAATGTTTTAATTTATAATTCAATAAAGCAACGTACAAATAAATTGATAATAGTCATTAATACTGTACCTTTAAAGGCATTTTTCGAAGTAAACGAAAATAAATAAATAATACAGCATTTATTAAGTTTCATTAAGATAAATGTAGATGGCGCCATTAGCAAAATANAAACTTTAGGTTAATGTAAATTCACAACTAATTTGTAATGCACAGTATCATTAATTTCACACAGAACCTTTCCTTAAAAGAGTTCTTCTAAAATACTGTACAAATTTGATCAACTTACCTTATTCTCAACTGTAATATTTCACCAGCCAACTGATATATCAGGAACTTATAAATAAACAACTCAGTGGCTCCCTGTTTGGAATAATTCTTACACTATGTGTTTTATTTAATTACGTAACAGTTTTCATGTTTAAGTAGCTTATATTAAAATTTTAAATTTCTACGTGGCAGTAACTAGTAGTTATCTTACTTCTTCTGTGTATATTTATGAATTAACAAGAAAGCTAAGAAATTAACATCGTATAGGACTATTTTTAAGATGGCCGCCAGATGTCAGCTACTTTGTTTTCGACTAGTCGCAATTAGATGACCATTATGGAGGGTTGGACCAAGCGGTCTTCGTCCATGAACACTGGGAATTCGGTCGTGGGTTTGCGCCTCACTCGGACGGGCTGGCCACGTGGAGTTTTTCGGGTTTTCTGCACGTCTATAACGCCTGAGTAGGGGCCAGTTTCCCTTAAAAGACCTCCCGGAAAGCATTATTTCCCCCGCGCGCGTATGGCCATTCCATCCATAAGGCCGGCTAATCGAACGCATGCGTCCATATTCTCGTTCTCGGAGTAAATATCTTATATGAGCTGCATGCTTCATATTTTCCATAGAAAGAAAGGGGCGGAAGACTGTTTTACTAGAAGCAATTTTTTTTTTCTTCTTCTTCTTCGATGGTGTTTATATGGAGATTTTAGCTCAATGTAGGCTCTTTCTCCGAGTAGACTTGTGTATGTGTATGATCGCTAGGCGACCGATTAGCCGTCTGTATCGAACAGCCATACGTACGCGCGGGAAATGAATGCCTTCCGGGAGGACTTTTATGGGGAACTGGCCTCCTATTCAGTCGTTATAGGCAAGGAGAAAACCCGGAAAACTCCAAGCAGCCAGCCTGTCCGACCGTGGCGCGAACCCACGACGAACCTCCCAGTCTTTAGGGTCTGGTCACCACTACGATGAGC